TGAATATACAGTGTGTGCTCAACACTACATGTTGCACAGGGACACCAAATTGTCAAGCATTACAACTCATTATGCACATTTCATTCAGTCATTGAGAATCCCCCAATATCATACAACTCACTATTGTGTTCATATCAGCAACTGCAATTCCCCCAACCAATACCAGTCTGCACATCGTCCATTCAGCCACTGAGCATTCCTTGCAAATAAGGTTGCTTTGTAACTGAACTTTAATAATTCCATGCTGAAACAACCTACATAGCATTGCTACGGTGTGCCAAGTGGTGTAGCTGGGAGAGTCGGTGCCGTATGTGTGTGCCAGTTTGAGTCGCACACATGGTTGACTTCGATTGATATCTATTTACTTTGCCATTTGTATAGTGTTATTTCTGATCTTGTAAAGCCAATGAGCTCTAATGTTTTGTTAAATCGTATCCATGTCTTCAGTTCCTTCATACATTGCTGTTTATGGAGAAAACTGCTGTGAATAAAAAAAATGGATCTTTTCAATGTAGCCCACATTGGCATGAATTTATATATTTTTTTTTTTGTTTGCTTTGTTGCTACATTAATCTGCAAATAATTATTCTAAACAAAACGAAACATATTACTGTAGAATACTTTATTTTCGCTTGGAATACATTTTCGCTATTTTCGCTGAACGAATGATTCCGTGAAAATAAAATCCAGCGAATATACTTTTTTTTCTATATTTCACATTAAACTCATCAAAAATCAGTGAAAATAAATTCCATACAAAACGCCAAAAAAGCCTTTTCAGTGAAAATTAATTCCAGCGAAAATAAAGTACTGTAAAATGACTAATTTTCACGGGGTTTAAATTTCACTGATTTACCATTTCAGGCATATTCAGTGGGTTTTAAATTCACGGTTTCGTCATTTAGATAATGTGTTCTATGCTAAATTTTACATATTCACTGTGTTTTAATTTAGCGCATTTTTCCAGTCAGCGAAATAAGCTAGATTAAAACCCAGTGAATAATTACCCCCTTTACAGTATTCCACAGTATTAGCTATCAGGTTAATAATCAATGCTTGTTACAGATTGACATGTGATGCCCTCTATAGTTCAGTTGGAGAAATTTTTTATCTAAGTGCAATTGTATTTCTTGTGGCTGTAATGTGCAATTTGTTGTACTTTGCAGAATAATTGGACCTCTTACATCGCGATGTGCTAAATTCCGATTCAAACCACTAGCCACCTCCATACTTTTAACAAGATTGAAAGGAATTTGTGAACAAGAAAATGTCAACTGCAGTGAAGAGGTAGGTGTGAAGGTGTCAAAGGGTGAACATTATGTATTGTCCACATTAAGTCAAATATTGCGTCACCTTCTTAGTGACATTGTCCTTTTACCAATGCAAACTGAACAAGCCACAGATTTATTAATTAAATTTGAATGAATAATCGGGTGTTTAGATTACAAAATTACAGTACTGGACCACGTTAGCGCCCTTGCCATGTCAAGCGCCCATTCGGCAAAGTACCCACTCCACTAATTTAAAATTTGGTCTTTAATCATTGCCTAATGAATACTAGTAATCGTTTTTATATAATACAGTGTGGATATCGACTGCCGTGAATATGTTGTGAATGTGTAGAAATCGATAACCATGCATAAAGTATGCTTCGACAATTACCTGTTAATAAATGTAAAATGCGATAAATATTTCATGCCATATATTCAGTTACCAGTTTTTTGAAAAAACCATGCCAATCCAACACTGTCGTCAGTGGAGAAATTATGACGATTTTAACTTTGACTGTGTTCCAACAGACTCTAATAATTTCAATCTCATAAATTTTGGGTGGTATGTAATTAATACTGTAATAAAATGTGCATACTTTTTGTGACCATTTTAGAATAGAAAAAAATAGCATAGAATAGATTTATTTCACCAGAAAAAAAAAGACAATTGTACAGGAACTTTATCTGAATAAATATTAAATATGTATATTTTTTCTGGTGGGGACCAGGGAGGTAATTTCTGTTTCTTCATTGTAAAAGTCAATGATGATGCAACTAATTTCAGAATGTAATTTCCCCCCTTAATCTGTCACATGGGGAATTAAAATTGTCATTTGCACTCTTTAGCGACGGGGGTGCCCAAGTAAGCACCCATCCCTAACAAAATCATGATTTTCTGAGTTGAGGACACTCAAATCAGTGCTTGATGCGGGATGAAGTGCCTCATTTGTAGTCAAAATACAATCACTTCAATAATATTTTGTGGCCATAAAATGAACAATAATGCCCATCTTCATACAGCACCAAAATTCTTGACTATGTCACTCTCAATGGCGATGCACGTTATTACCCTGATCAGTTAGCCATATTAGCATGCCAAACTTGTATTCCTTCGCAACAGCCGAGGGAACATACAACCACAGCTGCTATATATAGGCACACATGGATAAAGTGCCAAATATTTTATATCAGGTTCACATTTACTCCTGGGTAAAGAGAAAGTAGGAGATGGTATCTCCAAGATTCAAACTCGCAATGCTGTGGTTGCCAGTCCAAAGTGATATTTATTTAAACTGACATTTAATTCCAAATACGGAATGATTATGCGCATAAGTGTCCTCTAATAATAAAAACAAACATGGCTGCCATTAGGGTTTGACCGGACTCCACACAAAGAAGTTCGCTGATTCTGTTCTAAACTTTTTGGATTTCTGCATTCCCATGATGTATCCTTGGAAGAAAAAGCCAATCAGCCATTGGGAATCAAAAACAAAATGATGGGCATCGAGGTCCCAATAGTATGAGATTATTACGAAGATACCTCAAAGTGCATGAAGACAGTAGCAGCGGGAGTATCGGCCGACGTTCAGCGGCGTACTGTCTGAGTGCATACTTTGAGGTATCCTTGTAATAAACTTATTATTATACATCTGTTCCAGAAATGTATCTCAAATCTACAAATACATCATGTCACACAGATACACACAATACAATTCAAGATGCCCTTTCGTGTCCATTTTAAAGCTACAAATGGAGAACTTCTTCAATTCCGGATCAAGATCAAATCAAACTTTACACATGATAGATCATGTTGAGTTCTGATTTAAAAAAAATGGCTGACTGGTTTCAGATTTGTTTATTATTGAACAACGTGGAATGTGTCATATCAATGACTTGTTTCTTTTCATTCTGAGAATGTTATCTTTGTCCCAGAGTGGAATGTATCCCTATAGAATTTCTTGTGATCTGCAGCAGTAACAAATACAGCTGTGACCACATTATTTATTAGTCCCCGTTCGGACGTAGTCTGAAAACGGGGACTTATGTTTTGCCCTGTGTGCGTCCGTGCGTCTGTGCATCCGTGCGTCCGTGATCACCTGTATCTCGAACATGCATGGACCGATTAAGTTCAAACTTCACTCATACATCA